AAAAAAATTGTGGCAAACAATTAAAAGTATAAGGTTATGTTTAGTTGGTGTCTTGGTGATAGTGAACTATAATAATAACATAAATTTGAGAAATTTTTTATGAAGTTATGAATAATTAGCTTTTAATTTTTAATATTAATAGATATTTTTAACAAACTAATGTGTGAACAAGAATATATATTCCCTCCTTTAATTTAAAAAGAAGATGTATTCTTTAATTTTTTACTTATCTATAAAATTTAAACATTAAATCATAGTTATTATTAATTTTAATTTATTTTTATAATTTAGCAATAAGATAATTATTTCCACCAATTAAATAAGCTGTAACCTTTCAAGACCAATTGCACATTGATAAAACAGAGAGATGAAATTAATTCATATTAACAAATTTTAAAAATCGTGAAACCCCGGAGTAGTTGGGCTTGGACGAAGCTTTCTTTGGTTTTGGACTGTGTTTGGTTACTGGCTACGAAAGACATCGATGGGCTACATGGACCACTTAAGCCCCCAGGCCTGACGTTTTAGGACTTTAATTTAACTCCATTTAAAAGAAAAAAAAAATTACGGAGAGGTTACGGTTATTTACCGTCATCGCAAGAACTTGAGATGCCTGATTCTGAGTTTCAATCTCTCACTTACTAAGACGTACAGTAGATTACATGTTGCATATTTGCCTCACTGCCACTCTTTCTGTTTATGATAGTATTTTTTAATTTAAAATTTTTTTTAAATTAATTTTTTTATATTTTAAGAGAAAAATATTTTACTTTAATTTTAACCTTGTCTTCCTTAATTTCACTCTTTTTGTCTCAAAATAATTACTATTTTTTATTTTTTTTCAAAATAAGGTTAGTGACAATATCTATATTTTATTTATAAGAAAAACTATTTTACAGTCCAAATTATAAAATGGTAGACTATTATTTATAATATCCTTTTTTTAAAAAAGGGATCAAAATAGACTTTTTATAATTAGATAATTAATTAAATTAAATATATAATTATAGGGTTAAAGTAAAAATATATTCATTTATCTTAAAAAATAAAAAAGGCAATTAATTCAAAACAAATTTAAAGTAAAAAATATTCTCATTTTAAAACAAAGGAAGTAATTATTTATCTAATCATAAAAAAATTTAAATTTATCTTTATCTCTAATTTAATATAATAGAAGTAAAAATACAAATTATCAATAAATTATAGTGCTTTAAAAATGAAAAAACCAGAAAGTTCCTGTCAAAGGTGATAGTGGTTTGGCATAAAATCTGAGTATGAAATCACAACTTATGATATATGAGTTTAGGATGCTACTTTTATCTCAAAAGATTAATCAAAATAAGATTTATGCTTTAATTAGTCTTAATAAGATCGGTGGTGTACGGCCAAGTTAAAATTAAAAAATGATTATGATCACTCACAAAATTGATGTGGTCACTTGAACATTTTCTTATAATAAATAATTAATTATAATATTTAAAAATATTACTAATTTATAAATTAATTTTAATATATTAAATATAAACTATTACATTATTTATTAATTAAAAACTATAATTA